TCCCCGACCGACCCCCTCTCTCTCCTCTCATTTTTTCAGAATCCTCTCTCTCCTCCCTCTCATTTCCTCTCTTCTCCCTCTCGCGTGAGTGACGCTGGTGACCGCCCGCCGCCGTCGCTGTCGCCAGCCGGCCATCGCGCCGCCGCCCACCGGCCACCGTCGCCGGTCGTTTTTCCGTCGACTTTCCGGCCAGCTTCTGGCCACTCTCCAACGAGATTTTCCGGCCCGTTTGGGCGTGGTCTCGTGTCCCTCACCCTCTCCTCGCGTCCCCTCTACGGTCCTACTTGAGTTTCCAGGTGCGTTGCTTGCTCAATTTGTTCTTTTCTAGAAAATCAGACTGTAGATTTTAGGACCGAGAATTGTGATTTGCCTGGCATGTTTGAATTAGAATCGGGTGCGGGATGCCGTGGTTATGATTGGCTATTATGTGATGCCCGGTTGCTTGAATGGGTCGGTTGTGCTTGATTCTTGCTTTGATTGCGGTTGTGTTCTTTGCAATTCAACCGTTTGTGCTTAACTGTTAGACCTAGGTGGTCCTTAAGTGTGGGGGAAGTGATGAACCCATACTGTTGGTCCTAACAAGTATTTTCTTGGCTCCACCTTTGGTTTGTTGGTTTTGCAGGATCATGTCGCTTGATCACCCGTTCATGCAGGACCTGCGCCTGCACCTGGAGTACTCTGACCAGTACCGCAGGGTCATACGTGGAGTGCTCCAGCGCCATCACCATTTGGAGTGGGGGGTCTTCGAGCAGCTTCACTGCATGAACGAGATCTCCACCGCCATCAGCCACCCTGATTGGCGGACGTTGCTGAGCATTGACGAGCCCACCTACACAGAGCTAGTGTGGGAGTTCTACACCACCTTCTAGTACCACTCCAAAGCGGCCCGAGACTCCCCCACCAGTGTCATGAGGTAGAGATCCCACATCCGAAAGACTGGAAAAAGGATCCAGTACCACCCCTTCTCCCGCCATGAGGTAGAGATCCCACATCCGAAAGACTGGAACCAGAATGAGTTCTACCGCCGGATCGCTCGATGCGCCTACAGGATGGACTACTTCGACGTCGGCCAGACATACGTCTCCACCCTCAAACCACAGTGGCACATCCTCAACCTGCCGATCACCCGCTCGATAGTCCCAACGCCACTGGTTCCCACATGATCCCGAAGCGGGTGCTTTACGCTATGTACTCGATGGGGGACCCGGAGCACATGTTACACTTGGGTTCTTTCGTGGCCAACACCTTCTCTCGGTGCCACGGGAAACCCAACCACCTTTTCTATGGTCCCCTGATCACCCGACAGGCGCGCCACTTCGAGATCGACCTGGAGGGACTCATGGATGCCACGGCACGGGGCGGCTCCACCCCTCTCAGGAGGGAAGTGCTTCACAATGCGCTCCTCCTGGCCTCTGATGGAGCGAGTTCTTGGGTGGATGGGCTGTCTCTGCCTCCCGAGGAGGATGCAGATCTTGATGAGGACGAGGAGGACGAAGACTACACCAACGAGGATAAGGCCGATGATGATGATGATGATGGCGGGGCCATGGATGATGAGGAGTCGGAGCCCCCGCTCTCTCCACCAGAGGATCTTCCGCCACGACGGAGATCCGAGCGAGGCGAGTCCTCCTCTGGTCCTTCTGGTCCATCGATGGATTTCTTCAAGGAGCAGTTCCAGCAGATGGGGCTCCAATTTCAGCAGCTCGGGCTCCAGAACCAGCAGCTCATGGACCATCAGGTCTAGTTTTACCAGCAGTATTCGGCCCACCAGGCCGAGTACCAGTCACGGATGACGGTTTTGGAAGAGCGCCTCGACCGGATGGAGGCTCAGCTGGGAGTCACTAGTGCTCGGATTGAGCGGGAGCGGGATCGTAGCCGCCAGATGATGGAGTACCAGGAGCACCTTCTCCAGTCCTGCCACCCGCCACAGGAGCACCACTGGACTACCCGGTGGGACCACTCACCACCCTCGCCACCACCGACAGATGGGATTGACGACCTCATGGACCAGATCGACTTCAGCGGGCTCGAGTAGGCTGCACTCGTTGCTCATTTTGTGTTGCTTATGTTTTGGTTAGAAAAAAAGGAGGACGATTTTAACTACATTGGTGTGTGGCACCGTTAATTGCACCAAATCGGGTTTTGGAAGAGATTTTAGTGATCCTTGGTGGGGTACTCCTACAAGGTGAAGCTAAGCTGTCTCTAGTACAAGTAAAATTTTTGCTCGTTGAACGGTTTGCCTACTCGAGGATGTATTTTTAAGGGCACGGATAGAGCTTCCGACCCCCCTTAATTTCATTGACCCTCCACACGAGTTGAGGAAAAGCAGCTAAAAGAAGTACTCTGGCGAGTGCCAGATGTACAGAAATTGCTCTTGCTCGACTAATAAGGGTCGACCGTACAAAAGACTGCAGTTGGAACCCCCGCCAAGTGAAGAAAAAAAAAAAAGAAATGTAAAATGAAAGGGAAAAAGGGGTTCCAATGGTGAAATGAAGTGAAAGAGCACCCGGTAGAATGAGTCATTGGTTGTAAATGGTGTGAGTCCCTTTACCCATGAACTGGCTATCTTACTTCCACTTCTTCTCATGATCCTGGTTTGAGTCTAGTACTCGCATTGAGAGCGATAGGGGATGTCTTACAAGACCAGTTGACCTCGTAAGCTGCTATATAAGCTAGAAAATCCTCTACCGACGATCGGGGTTGTTTGTTGCTATAGAGGTCTGAAGAGCAGCATTGGTTTGAGTTAGGTTTTCTTGGGGACAAGCAAACGGTTAAGTGTGGGGGAATTTGATAGACCAATAATTGCACATGTTTTTACCTCCATTCTTGAGCCGTTTGAGAGTCGATTCTCGTGTTTTAAGCCGATTTCACGGTAGGCTGTGTGTTTATGTCATATTTCAGGACTTGGCGTTGACGTGAAGGCGAGGAAACGAGTTTCGGGTTAAAAGGAGGACGTTGGTGTAGAAGGGTGCTGGAGGAGCAAAATACCCGGCCAGGAGTTAAAATACACGGCCGGGTAAAATGCAATGCGAGGCCGGGGAAAAGCGTTTTGGGACGTCTGAAGTCCATAAGGGGTCCCGGCCAGAGAGCAAAAATACCCGATCGGGTATTCTGGACCTCGATCGGGTATTAATCCCTTGTTGCTGCGCTACATTTCAAAATTCCCGGCCGGGCACCTGAAATACCCGACCGAGGTTTACGACCGGGGATCGCGAACAACTGGATTTTAAGGGAAAGAAGGCCAATTTTGCGAGGGTTCCGAGTTTTAGAGAGAAAAAGCGTATACCTAGATAGAGAAAGTTACGAACCTGATTCTTCAAGCGCCCTAGATCGATCTTCATCACCATTGGAGCCCGGCTTGAGTTTGGAGAACTGCTGATTGATTGCGAGAAGCACAATCCCATCCTTCACAGTATGGTTTCCGTGTCTGAGCTAGATTTCTCGTCTCTCTCTATGGAGTAACTTTCTCATTCGCCTGGGTATGAAGAACCCTAGTTTTGTATGTTAGGTCTGATTGTATGAACCCAAGTACGAATTCAGTGATATGATTATATTCAATTGAGGTTTGATTTCTTGAATGGCATGAATCTTGATCAAATTCTTGTTATTTCTGCTTTGACCTAGAAAGAGAATATCTGCCTAGGTTGATAGAGCACCCTTGATTGAAGGTAGTGAATTGACGACTTTAGTCGAGGAGTCAATTCACTATTCTGTACCTGATTTACTTCGGTAGAGGAGGTTTGGGCCTCAATCTATTTACTCCGGTGGAGGTTAGTCGCCCGTTGGGGACTCAGATGGAGAGGGTCTGGAGACCTTTAGTTGAGACTGTAGAATGTTTAAGAACCTTCCACAGTATAACTATCATTGAACTTGAACTTTGTAAATTACAACCTGGCTTAACTGCAGTTTAGGGGGAACCATATCCGGTGACCTCTCTCAACTTGAACACAACTTTCACTGCTTTGCTTGCAAGTTTAACTAAACACTACACTTGAACCGCTAGATAACAGGACTTTCACAAAGTTGTCATCACACCTAGGACCTGGGTTGACAATTAGAACTAAACCCGCTATACTACGCATTAGTAGGTGGTTACACTTGGCCACTTTCTAGTGTGACGGTAGAAGCGTGCCACGGCCACGACATCGCATTGGTCATCTCACCCACCACTGATTTCATCCAGGCCGTCGCCAGCCAGCACTTGAGCCTCTTTAATTCCACCAACATGGACAACGCATCCAATCGCGTCGTCGCCGTCGAGCATGACGCGATGTAGAGCCCAGAGTTCCAAGACCGCTAGGGTTTGTTAGATTAAAAAAATTTAACCTTTTTAAATAGTTGGAAATGAGGTGAAAATTTTAAAAAATATATTTATTTTATTATTTTTAATTTACCATGTCATACATTTAAAAGTGAACTATAAGGTTTGACTACCAAATCAACAATAGTTTATGGAGACTAACGGAGAGTGACCAAAGTTGAACGATTGAACTAATCTCAGTTACTAAATATGAACGTTTTTAGTAATCTTAGTAACCTTGCAATTTACCCTTAATAAAATTGAACAACTTCTAAAGTTAAAACTCTTGAAGATGGACTCTTACAATAATGGTTTCTGGTCGATGTGAAAGTTGATGATCAGGTTGAGGTGGAGTACTTTACCAGCTACCACTTGACTTGCCAAAAAAAAAGCAGAGCCCATAAACGGAAAATGAAGATGCCCTCTCCTTTTCTTTCCTTTCCACCACTATGCAATTACAGGTCGGCGGCGACGGCTAGCCGCTTGCGGACGTGTCAGGCTGAACTGTCCAATGGGAAGCTGAGTTGGCCCGGGAACCACTGATCCCCCACCCATCTGGCTCTCTCCAGCCCTAGGTTGGGCCTCTGTCCTCTGTAATCGCTGCATGCCCACCACGTGTTCGACATAAGTCCCCAATGAGTTCCACTTTCCGCCCCTCGCCGCCTGCCTTTCTATATATTCCTCCCCACTTCGCCCCTTTCCTCCCACCACAACATTTCCAACACAGAAAAATCATCACAAGCTAGCTCACAAATCCAAATCAAAAGTACCCATTCCCAGAATCCTCCTCTCTTCTTCGAAATGTCTTCCTTGAATGTCACGTTTTCACAGTTCGAGCCTACTGCTCTGCTGAGCATCGCCATGCTGCTGCTGTTCCAGGCCACGAATGGAGAAGAACATGAAGCCCATTGTTGCGTGCTTCGTTACCAGCCTGCGGCTGGTAACAGTGAAGCCGATGATGGAGATGATGATGACGATGGTGGGGATTTTGACTTCGCCCCTGCTGCTTAACTTGTCGGAAGTCCCTGCTAGATTCAGGTTTGATGAGGGTAATGTTTAATAAACCACCATAGATGTAGGCATGTAGCTAGCTAGCTATAGACGTTGTTGCAAGATCATTTTGTAAGCCATGAAAGGGTTTGATTAACAACTAACCAGCTAAGTGGGAGCTTGGGATTGATGGGAAGTCGTTACTTAGAAACTTGAGAGTGATCATGATTCATGATTATGATGTAATAGAAGTCCATCTCCTAATTTATATAATTAGATACATCTTCTTTTTGAATTTATTCCGAGTATATTCTGTTGTTATTATTATTAAACATATTAGTGTGGAAAACACGCCGATTACTTGATGATCATCAGTTACCATTTGTCCAGTTGCTAACATCAAGTATGAGCAAATGTAACCAAGTTGTATGTATAGCCGATAAAAAAGCAAAATCGTGTGGGATGTGCATAAAGCTGATAATATTTTGGTCAGAAAAAAGATGAATTATTTCTTGTGTATCCATTAAATGAGTCAAAGACTTTTAACCAAATAGACTATAATGAATTTATTGTATATTTTTTATTAAAATTAGAAAATAAGTAAACATCTCAAAATCATAGGACTTTGTTCACTGCAATAGTCAGTCCTTCAAGTGGCCAATAAAATGCAAATTTTCTATCAAACGCTTCATTCTGTACATTATACCTAGATCTATAGATAAGTAAGCGAATTTCTCTAATCACAATAATCTTCACCAAGAGTCAAATAATGAATTTTGAGTGGTATATTACAAATTAATAAATTGATTAGGTTATATGACTTTGTAGGAATATAAATCTAAAGTAGTATACAAAATTATATTTCAAAAACACAAAATTTGACATTCAGCAGTCTAGATATAATGAGAGAATGTAACGATATTGTAAAGAAACATTTTTAATGTTACAAGTAAATTACTAAAATTAACTGGCTATAATAAGAGCACTAATGGTTGAGAATCATAAGAATAGAAAGTAAATTACTAAAATTAACTGGCTATAATAAGAGCACTAATGGTTGAGAATCATAAGAATAGAAGTGAAAGAGAAAATATCATTGGCCAATGAGTCATATATAATTGGTTAATGAATCAAACATCATTGGCTAATCTTTAAATTTAACCACTAATGGGGAAAATCCCAGAATACACTAGTTATTAAAAAAATTCTCAAAATACAGTAGTTATGAAAATATTTCCCAAAATACAACAGTTTGATCATCACCGCTGTCGACAAAGACAGTGAATACTATCACCGCTGCAAAGAAAAGCGGTGAATGTATCACCGTTTTGGACAAAAGAGGTGAACCTATCACCTCGTTGGAGAAAGACGGGGAAGGTTTAACCGTCTACGTGCATAGCGGTGAAACATCAGATCGCGCTTCACCGCATCGGACGGCCACGGTGTAGCACGGGTGACCAGGATTAATGACGTGGAAGTGTGCGGATCGCGCTTCACCGTTTTGGAGGAAAGCGGGGAATACCTCGCGTTCTACGTCATCAATCCTGGTCACCCGCGCCCTTCACTGTTATCGTCCGATGCGGTGAGGCGCGAATTCTGGTTTTTCTCCCAGATCCGACGCCTCATAGGGAGCCACGTCATCAATCCGCGCCCTTCACCGTCTTCGAGGAACGCGGGTTTGTTTCACCGTTTTTGACCAGAGCGGTGAATGCTCTGTGATCCTCACTATAAATACCACTCCTTCCCCCTCATTCCAAACCCCACCACCACTTTTATACTTCTTTCTCCCTCCATTACTTCACTCTAGTCTCGTTCTAAGTATGCTCTGTGGTTGCGGCTAAGTCCGATCTTCCACATCAAAAAGAATTACTAGAGTTTTTATTTTGTTTTCAATCCTTTGCTCTAAAGTTCCGTCGATACTCTCTCCAGCTTTTCGGCAAAAAATGGACGACGAGTCTCTGAGAGAACGATTTTTTTTTCTTCTTTTGTGATATTTTTTAAAATGGGTTAGAAATAATCTTATTTCATTTCACATTTGTTTATAGATGGGTGCTGAGATATACGACCCTCGATTATATATTGATCCTGGCCCAAGGGATCGAAAATATTTAAACGGGCAAGAACAACATCGCTCCCGTGCAATTTGGGACAATAATCCGGTAGACACTCTGTACCGTATAAATTTTTAAATTATTTCATTAGGTTAAAATATTTTGTTTTGTTTTTTTTTCTAACAACATTGTATTTTTTGTTTTGTAGAAATCACTTATTCCCATCAGTCATCGAGGGACATGTCGATTTCCTTTTTGGCATCCTCGACTGGAGCCCTATCTAGAGAGTACGGGATTGCACATGTTGAGGCACTTCATGAGACTTGATATTGACAACGATCTGCTTACGAAATGGCAGAGCGATGGCGCCCCGAGTTGCATACCTTCCACTTTCCCGAGGGGAAAATGACGATCACCCTCAGACAGCTTCAGGGTCGTCAAGCTATGCCCCGCAACAGGAATATGACATGTTTCCTCAAGGGTTCCCTCAATTCCACCATCAGCAACAAACCTCGATTTATCAGACACCGCCTCAACAGCCCACAGCTCAGCCCACTTCTTCTGCCTACTACCACTCTTCTGGTTCATCTCAACCACCTGCACCTCCACCGCCTAGCTATACTCCGATCGGACGTTGGGTTAGGAGGAATCCGCGAGCAATCGTCCAACAAGCTCGCGAAGAAGGAGGAGGTAGAAAAGGCGGAAGAAGGGGTCAAGGACGCTGTGGAGGACGAGGGAGAGAAAATGAAGAAAACCAGTGAAGTATCCATTTTATCTTTGTTTATTTATGTCTTGTGTGTTTTCATTAAACTATCCATGTCGTCTTATTCTCTATTATTTTTTCCATGAACTACCATTGTCAAGTTATGTCATGTGTGTTTTCGTTAAACTATCCATGTCGTGTATTTTTATCTAGATATATTGGTAATGTTTTAGTAGCCAGATCCATGTTGTACCAAGTCAAAGCACAAATTCATCATCATTACAATCACTCAACAAGATTAATATAAGAACTCCAACTTAAAAACCATTACAACTAAATGACAATTACATACAACAACCTCAGGGTTGGTTCGGATTTTGTCCTGAATCTTGCTCGATAGGTGGACCTGGGCAACGCCTCTTGTTATGTCCCAGTTGTCTGCACTTCGAGCAACGCTTAGGACCTCGCCTAGCATGTTGTAATTGATCCATATCATTGTGAATCCTTTCGGTTCTAGGACGACCCTTGGTGCGCTTTAAGTGCAACGGTGGGATTATCAACTTCCCATTGTCTACAGGCCGATAAGCTTCATCAGGCATGGGGATGAGACTGGACGAGTACGAGTTCTTGATCGCCTGTTCGGTGAAGTAAGGACTCACCAAAATGTAAGGGCTGAGGGTTATTGATTTAGATACTGTAATTGCATGTGAACACGGGATTCTTGTGTTTTGATACTTTTGGCATGAACACTCCCCGATGCAAATGTCTACGTGTAGAGTAACAGATTGACGATTGTGCCCACGTCTACCTCCTCACCAAATACCTGTATTGTTTAAGTGCATGTTAGACTAAGAATCATGGGTTACTAAAATGACTTCTCTCTCTACTTTTCCTCTCTCCAAATTTCCTCTCTACCCTCCTTGTGAGGACTGCTACATCCTCTATGGATATCTCTGTTATCTGTAAAATCTCCAACTGCATATCCTTGCAATTAAATGGTATCCAACCCTTCTCAGCCATCATCAATGCAAAATATTCAACAGAAGACCTCAGAAACATGGAGCCCCAAAAATGACCCGGGAAATCAGAGTATTCTCAGTAGGAGTAAATGGAGATAAGATGGTTATCTACTCTTTGTTCGCTACAAGCAAAAGAAGAGAAATTCAATGGAAAGACAGAGGAGGGATCAACTTATCTCTGAAAACCCAGAAGATTGTTCTGCTGGAAGATCCAAACAAAAGATGGCTCAGTTATGATAGCTGCTTTTTCAACCACCTCCTATCCCACTACTATACCAACATTCAGAATCACCTCATTGAATATCACTGGCAGTTCAACAACCATCAAAGATTCCTTTACTCCCTCTTAACACTAAACAATAATACCACTTCTTTAAAATCCCCTGAACACGGTTGTCACTACCCACCTCCCCTTTCTACCTGAAAAGATAAAGAACCAAACTTGCATTTGTCTTGCTATTCCCCTATTTCCCCAACTTCCACCCAAATGGCCAACCTTGGGATCTTTGATCTCCTTCAAAAAACTGAATCCCTTGAAATTTCCGACTTAACATACATAGATTCAAACAAAAGAGAGGCCCCAATTATAAGAAAACTAGTGAGATCCTGGTTGGGGATATGATAACTGAAAAAGAAATTCCCGGCCTACACTATGGAACTCACATTGGGAAGAGATTGGAGGGACATTGGACAACCTTCAATTGTGGAAGTGGGGCTCAACACTTTCGCAGTCACATTCCAATCCAAGGCAGACAGGAGCAAGATCTGGGAGGCCCGCCCTTGGAAGATTGCTGACTCCCTACTGGTTCTAAAAGAATGGAAAGGAAAAGGTAAAGTTCTTCCAGATGAGCTTGATTTCCACAAAACTATCATCTGGCAACAAATCCACAACTTTCCAGAAGATCTTAGATCGGAATAAAACGTGTCTACCCCACTCAATGAGATCTTCAAAGAAGTTATCAGAGGCGACGACATGGGAGTTGCGGAGGGCAGATATGTCAGCTTCATCCGAGTTCTGGTGGGAATCGACTTGTCCGAATCTCTTCCCCACGGTTTCTTCCTTGAAGATGACTCATCGCTTGACTTGTGGGTCGAGTTCAAATATAAAAGGCTCCCCACCCAAGTTTTCTACTGCTGTGGAAGAATCGGGCACAACCAGCTGATGTGTAGATCTCAATCAGAACGCATCGAGGGACGTTACATGGATTGGATCAGGGCTGGCCACCCGACTCTTCTGTCTCAAACTCCCAGAAAAACACGTCTAACTCAGCGGAAAGTAGGACCGACTACAACTTCTTGGCCGCAGACCGTTCAGTGAATAGATTACTCCACGGGAGACTATCTAGGGGGCGTGGGGCCTTAAGAAGGGAGAGAAATGTTGTTGCTCCTTCCCACAACCCCAAAATCCACTCTGCTTTTGCAACGACTCTCTTGTCAGGAGATCCAAGAGAATCTCTTCACCCCCAACTACCCCTGCCTCACCTACCCCTGAAATGACAAAAGGGAAAACAACTAGACTTCAGCCGGCGACGGACGTCTCTCCCTACCAACCAAGAGCTCTGTTCCCAGAGGAAGAAAAGGACAATGTATCTCAGAAGGCAGTTCAATGGGATGGTGGGCCAAACCTGGGGGCCCATCCTAGTCTCCCTCATAACATGGACCCCCATAATTCTCCCTCTCCCTTTCCGTTTTTTAACCAAATGGGCCATGGAAAATTATTTCCTAGTTCTAATTACATGCAGATGTGGAATGAGAATGGGCTCCAAAACCAAGACCAATCCCCTTTCTTCCTATGGGACAACAGTAAGGTTGCAACTCAATACCTCAGCCCATCGGGACTCAAGCAGGAGAAATCGAGGAAAAAATTGAAGCCAAGCAGAAAGAGGAAGTCGGGCATGATCATTAAGGATTTTAAATTGCTTCAATCGCAAGATAGTGGAAATGACACTGCCACTAATGACACTGACACTGGAAAGGGGAAGGTGGCAACCCAAATGCCACCTAGTGCGCTATGACTACGCTTTGCTGGAAATGTCGTGGTCTTGGTCCAGATGCGGCAGTAAACAAGTCAAGGGACTTGCATAGGTCTTTTAGACCTATCATTACCTTCCTCATGGAGACTAAGCAACAAGAGAGTTTCTTGGAATTTGAAAGGAGAAGAGTCAAGTTTTCCAACAAATGGCATCATAATCCTTCGGGTAGTAGGGGTGGTTTAGCTTTATGGTGGGTTAAGGGCCTTGAGCTCATTGTAGTAGATTCTTCTGAATTTTTTGTTCATGTTTTCGTTAATTTTAGGTGTGGCTTTTACCTCACCTTTCTCCATGCCCCTAATGATCCTAGTGATAAGAGGGTTTTTTGGGAGTTTATTTCTACTTTAAAACCTAGTAATGATAATCCTTGGCTTTTGTTGGGGGATTACAACGTGTTTCTTAGTGATAGTGAAAAGCTGGGAGGTAATCCTCCTCGAACGGTGTCAACTGAACCTTTCAAGTATTTTGTGTTAAAAAATGTGCTCATGGATATCGACCACAAGGGAAGACTCTGGTGAGGCTTGATAGAGGCCTTTGTAACTTGAAATGGAGAGAAGAGTTCGCTAATGCAATCATCTTCAATGACTCGATGATTGGTTCATACCACTGTCCGCTGAGGCTTGAGATTAATGGAGTCAAAAGGCCACATGTTTCATCCTTCCACTTCGATCACAGATGGCTTGATTACGAAGGATGTGGCATTATCATAAAGAATATCTGGAACAAGGGTGGCAATCATCAACTCTGTCTCTCGACCTGCAGGGAAGAGTTGAAAATTTGGGCTAAACATAATTTCCACAATGCTGCAGCTAGAATCAAAGCAATTAAAGTCAGGCTGGAAACCATTTTGGATCTGACTCATGATCCTTTACTTGAGGAGGAAGAAAGGACTTGAAAATCGAAAAGCTTTGGATTGAAGAAGAACTTTTTGGAGACAGAGATCTAGCATTCATTGGCTGAAGGGTGGGGATTTCAACTCTCGTTTCTTCCATGCTTCCACCATTAAGAGAAGCATCTGTAACAATGTGACAAAGCTTTTGGATGACAATGATGTATGGGTTGAGTCAAGAGTTCCTCTTCAGCAGCTTTTGATGGATTTCTATTTTAACCTTTTCATGAAACGTGAGATGGTGGACAAAGGCTCCCTCATTCAGGACATTCCTTTGGTTGTTGATGCACAAATGAACATGTTCCTCTATCGACCTATTGAGGACGACAAGATAAAGGCAACTGTTTTCGACCTGGGACCCTCCAAATCCCCTGGCCCTGAAAGTTTCCCTGACCTCTTCTATAGAAATTACTATGAAACTATTGGCACCCGGCTCTGAGAGGAAATCAAGGGCGGCTTCAATGGAAATTCCATGTCGGGGCTGGAATGAAACCCATCTGATCCTTACTCCTAAAGTTACAAACCCGGAAAGAGTCTCACAATTCAGACCAATTAGTTGTTATAACTTTCGATACAAGGTTATCTCAATGGTATTGACTAGGGGTGGTTAAGGTTACCCGCCCCACATTTTGCGGGTATCCACACCAATAAATTTACAATTATGCTACCGACAACCCTCCCCGCAGTGATTAGTGGGTAACCACTACCCACAATGGGTTGGCGTGGGTTGAGTATGGTTACCCGCAAAAATACAACTTTGTGTCTACATACCGGAACTGATAACATTTGAGATTATGCAGGATTATACACAAAAGATCCTTTTTTGGATCTCTCTTTAGCCCAAGTATGAAGTTGAGGTCGCCACTAACGTATTTGTTGTTCATCGCTAGACTATAGTGATATACAATTGTGTTGTTCCTAGAGATACAATTTTGTATATCGATCTTACTCAATGTGGAGAATTTTTCATTTCAAGTTTCGTATTCAACTTTTGTGTCAGGGAGCTGTGATTTCATATTTCACCAACTAGGGGTGGAATATGACAATTAAATATGATCTTGTATTTTCTTTCACACAAAAGCAAAAATATACAGATAAAAGTTACTAAAGGTGTCCAGTTTTAATAAATCGATTATTCACCACTCTCTTTATTATAATGTTTTATAAACTAAAAAATTATAACATAAAACTGATTAGGTGCGTATTTGATTTTGATGGCTACTTTAATTTTTAGTCCTCCCACTTTTCACATACTATTATACTATAAACTTAATTAAGTAAATAAATATAATTAGTGCATTTATTGTGGATTTTGTGAGTTAACCACGGTGGATAGTGGATAACCACTAACCACAGAAATCATTATTTTACTACCCACACCAAACCCACTACCCAGAACTTGTGGGTATGGTTACCCATAATAGGTGCGGTTTGCGGGTTGTCCATAACCTGCAACCCAAACTTCCACCCCTAGTATTGACTGCTCGCTTTTAGCATTTGATCTCTACCATTGTCTCTGAGATGCAAGCCGCTTTTGTTGGTGGAAGAGCTATTCAGGACAACATCATAATTGTCCATGAGGTCCTGCACCATTTCAAAACTCGGCCTAGAGGGGGTAATTGAGATATGATGATTAAGCTTGACATGAAAAAGCTTTTGACATGGTTGAGTGAGACTTCTTGGAGGATATCCTAAAGGCCATGGGATTTGCTAATCAATGGTGCATCTGGATCAAAGAATGTGTCAGAACTGTGAGATTCGCAGTTCTCTTTAATGGACAGCCCTCTCCTTTCTTTGAGCCTTCTCGTGGATTTCGTCAGAGAGACCCCCTTTCCCCTCTTCTATTCATTATTCTTTCTAATGCTCTTTCCTGTCTCATCAACAAGAATGTCAATAATGATAAGATTAAGGGGATCACCCTCACCCCTTCCTGTCCTAGGCTCACACATGTTCTCTTTGTAGATGACACCATCATCTTCAGTAAAGCTTCTATCAATGAAGTTATGATCATCAAAGAAACCATTGAGAACTATGGTACCTTGACTGGACAGATCATCAACAGCGAGAAGTCAACCATCACTTTCAGCAATAATTGCTCGTCTCCCCTAAACCTTTTTATCGTAATTTCTTGCTCATCCCAATTTCAGAGGTATTGGGAAAATATTTGGGAGTTCCTTCTGAATGGGGGTGGCTCAAAAAAGGATGTCTTCACAGGGCTTATCACTAGGATGGAGAGGCTTGGTCAAACTTGGAAAAGTCTTGCCCTTTCTCAAGCCGGAAAAGAGACCCTCCTCAAATCGGTCTACCAGAGCTACCCTATGTATTTGATGTCGTGTTTCCTTCTCCCAAAGGGCACAAATAGAATCATGGACTCGAAGCCCAAAGCTTTCTTCTAGGGTGGTAACATGGAAAAAGGGACTGTCCATTGGAGGAAAGGAAGTGTTCTAATGGCAGCAAAACAAGATGGTGGAATGGGCTTCAAGGACTTTCATCAATTCAACATGGCCCTTCTAGCCAACCAAGGATGGAGATTACTCAATGGGAAAGATGAGACAGGGGTCAAACTTTTAAAAGGTATCTATTTTCCTGATTCTGATTTCATGTCTGCAGGAAAGGGAAGGAAGTCATCTTGGATCTGGGTGAGTATCTGTGAGGCGAAGGAAGTTTTGAAGCTTGGGGCAAGGGAAAATATGGGAAATGGAAGGAAAATCACCTTGGATGCTAACAATTGGATCTCGGGGGTGCCGACCTTCCGTCTCCAACTGAACCAATGTAACCAACTTAATGATTGGGTTATGAATGATGGCAACGATTGGAACCTTGACCTGATCCGGCAAAGCTGCTCCCCGATGGAATTTGAGGCTATTCGACGAATCCCCATTGGATCCACTGATTTGGAGGATTGTTGGGTGTGGCACCCTGAAAAATCGGGTTGCTTCTTTGTCAAGTTAGCCTACCATACCTTTAGAGTTGCCGAAAATGCTAGACTGGGCATCGCGGACCCAACTATCCTGGCTGTTCTCCACAGGCTTGGGAATGGCTTTGGAGTCTCTCCCTCCCTCCAAAAATCTAGAATTTCATCTGGAGAATTACCAGGAACGTTGTTGATACAGGAAGGAACCTTTGGTTTCGCAGAATCATTAGCTCTCCCATCTGCAGCATCTGCTTTACTAGCATTCCCACTTCACCTCTCTTTCCCTTCATGTGGGGCCAGCTCCAATCCTCACGTGGCTCTTTCATCTCTCTACAAATCTCCAACCCCCTCCCCCTCGCGTGACGATAGTGATTGGCTCACCCTAGGAAATTTAGAATGCCTGAAATGAGAATATTTTTCGTGGGAAGCAGCCCTCTACTTACACTACTACCTCAAATGCTATTCGGCATGTCTCCGATTGGAAT